TGGTGGCCATGTGGGGCAGTTGTTATCCACTGGCCTTGGGGCACAGCACCAATCTGAGCCTGACCCAGACAGGACCACCTCTGGCACAACTCATGCTTACATATTCGCACATCCCATGAGCCCCCCTTGCCAGAAAATGCCTTAAGACCCCCAACAGGAAGTAAGGCATGTGATTTTTCACATCATGACAGCACTCTGGGGGACCAGCCCCACCAAGCTAAGAACACACTAATAGACAGTCCAAGGCTCATGGTGATTCTGTGGCGCAGCCACAGCCATGGATGCAGCAGCCTGTGGGTTAGTTTGGGGAGAAGCAGACAAGGAAAGGCAATGTGCAACTTGCACTCAACACCCATCCCAAATCCTAAAGGCAAAAATAAATATTGCTATCTAACGAGGCAGGCTTAATATGTTTGTCTACTGCAGTCTCTGTATGAATGGAGGAGACAGCCCTTCTGCTATTGAGAGCTCTACCTAGCAACACACAGAGATAAAGGACTGTAGGTTTCCACATGTAACTAAAGTTCAGCCATGCTGACTTTGCAAAGAGATTTTGTAGGCCACTTAATACCAGTTTAACACCACAGCACCTCTTAATGCCCAGCTCCTCCCTGAGACACAGGCAGTACTTTGGAAAGTACAGACTCAGGACAGATGGCTACAACTCTTCAGGTCCTGCAAATAATTAAGCAATGAGTAACAAAGGCAATTAACACAGTAGATCTCTTGGCCTAAACTTTAACTCAGTATACTTGCTGCAAATTACACAGCCAAAGCAGAACTTGTCACTTCATCTTCCAGCTGTTAGTTACTCTGAACTTGTGTATCTTCTTAAATTTTCTAAGGCAAGACCTAGACAACTTTTCATATTAATTTAAACAGATTTGAGCAGAGGAAACAATTTAACAGAGAAAATATAAATGAAATTTAATTACTTGCTGGGAGTTCCCTTTATTATGCAAAAAGAAAAAAACTTTAAAACCCAGTTCACTTCTTGCTGCTGGCTGTTAATGATTTCTTTATTGCTTGGACATGATAAAGCATCTGGGTCAATCATTCTTCGACATTTTCATACCTCCAAGAACCTAACATTTATTTCCATACAAAATCATTTAACAAAAAAGTGTTCAATCATCTTGAAAAAAATGTGTAAGTTTTGGCCTTGATGTCCTGAGAGTTTCCTTTTAGTCAACAAGGGACGTAGGATTCTGTTTCAGCTGCTTAGATCATTTCTGACCCTCATCGGAGCACAAGTTTGAAAATAAAAAAAATGTATTGAAAAAGAGGCAGCATGATCAATTATTGAGAGGCAGCATGATCAACTCCCTTCTCAACAGATGACAGCATTTAAGATTATATGGCTTGATTTATAGCTATCCAACACCCATACGTACCCATACACACACACACACACTCACTGCATGACCCTATTTCAGTAATAATGGCACTATTTCAAGCCTCCTTATTTCATTCTGCTTTCTCTTGTGCTCCCACCCAAATGTGAGTAAGGAAACTTTGACCATGTTAGTCTAGAAAGAATTACAGAGGCAATAAGCAAGAGCCGGTGGCAGGATCCATTTCCCTCTCATTCTGTAATGATAGCATCAACTCATCTTTTTTTAGTCCCACATATCTTAGGGAAAGCCTCTTAAAAACAACCTTGAGATAGTTTAGTTTTATCATGTTATATTTAAGTGAAGACCTCTTCTCCATTTAGTTTCCAAGAAAAGTGCTTATCCTTGGCACTAGGGATCTGGTAGATGGCAGTGCCCTTCCTATAGGTTAATCTTAAGGATGCTGTGTAATCCAGTGCCCCTCAGATTAATCTAGCCATTGCTACACTTCAGGAGGTCAACCTACAAACTACTTACAGATCATCTGCCACTGCAGAATGCAAGCTGAAGATTTTTTAATGTATGTGTCAGAGCGAGCTGAGAGCACGAACTGAAGCTTTTATTCTCCTCTGGCTTACACTGATCAGTGCTTACTGTGGCTGCAGTCCTGTGGATCCTTAGCACACACACACAGCCACAGTCAAGCACAGCACTATTCTATGTGTTTGGAAGATGCTGTTAATTTGCTTGCTTCCTCCATGAGTCGAAACACTTTTCAAAGTGACTCTAGGAGGAGAATGACAAGGCCAAAGCAATGAGGAAGGCAGGACTCCAGCTCGAGTTTGTGTAAAGACACGAGCAGCTCCTATGCCAGCATGGAAACTAGAGTCCATGTTTCACCTTTCCTAACTGACGTCCTAATGATTAGGCCCAAGGGGAGGAGCATGTAACTTCTCACTGCTTTCTGATCTCCTGTACTTGGCATTTTTACTGACCATCTTAGTCTTCCTGCTTTCCCCTCTGCCTGCACCAGGCTTTGTTGACCCTCAGTGTGTAGGGGACATCAGTACTTCATGGTGTGTTCCCCTCAGTGGCAAGGCATTCAAATTCAGCCTTGGCTATTTGGTGACCCAGTGTCTTCATACCGCCTTGTACCAAGCAAGACCAGAACCTGTCAGTCACTCCTACACTGCCCTCTGCGTCAGCCAAACTGTTCCAAACACCCTATCCACTCGTCTACCCAAACTAGGGCTGACAAAACTAGACAGTACTTGTTGGAATAGTAATATTATGGGTCTGACCTCCAAATTCAGACCTGAATTATCTTGTTTGCAGTGTGAATATTTGCTCAAAATTATTTTTCTGCATTCAGATTTAGACAGCTAAGGAGAAAGAGATTAAACACACCCTCCCTTCACACCCCATTACTGCTTCTACTTTTCTACAGTGGCTTCCACCTGAACCTCAGAGAAGAGCTGACGAAGTACAGCAACTGTTCTGTGTTCACTGAATTTTAACAGCCAAGGGCTGTCTCTTGAAAACTACCTTGACATGTTTGCACCCAAAATTCCACTCCCAGAAGACCTAGTGATTAAAGTTACACCCAGGAGTGACTAAAAGCACCCTACTGGCTTACATGATCTCCCTCCTTTTTAGGCTTATTAGTTTAATTAAGTGCTATGTTGAGCCAACCATGCTAATTCTAGCTTCAAAAGAAATTAATCTCTGCTAGCCACATGGTCTCCACGGCCACTGTGGCTAGCAGGCTTTGTTCCCAGTCATCTTCTGATGCAGAACTGAAAGCAGCCTTAATGCATTAAGTGTGGGCACAGTTTTAAGTACACCACAAAGGTCTGACCTATGTCATAGGGCACCTTCTCTGTGTCAGAAACCACAGTGCTAAGCAACCTACACATACTCATTTTATGGACAGCCTTCATTTTCATTAAAGTCTGTCCTACAAGGATGCACATGGTCCTCTTGAATGTGATTTGTTTTAACCCAAGTGAAGCAACTATGCAGGTGTGCTTTGGCCTTCTGTCACACTTTTCAAAGACAAAATGAGTTCTTCCAACATTTGGAAGATGAAAGCAAGGGAGTAGAGTTTAGACTAAGATAGCTCATGGGCTTCTTCTCTGCTACCCTGAATCTGCTGGCCTTCAATTGATGCATCTTCTTCAAGCAAGAAAAGTCTCTTTTCTTCAAGGCCTGGCTAAAGCAAGGTAGTACCCATTATATTTTATGCAGTCTTCCACAGGAAACTAACCACACAGGTGACATTCTTTTTCACTTTCTTTAGAGAAATCAGCCTGTGGCTCAAGGAGACTAACCTCCCTGACAAGGCCAGATGGGGACAGATGATCCTTTCCTATTTCTGACAGTGGCTGAACCCAGCCAACCAGGAGCTTCTCTTCTTTTAAAAGGGGAGAACACATAATCAGGCATCAGGACTGTGAATATTAGCTGGATTAAATGGTTCTGTGGGCTAAGGCAGAAGGTGCTATTGAACTAGGGCAGCTCTACTCCATAGCATTGAATATATTAACATCTTTTTGGGTGCTGTATTGGGAGCCCTGGTACAAAGACTTTCTTTCATGTCAGTTGCAAGTCTGCACAATTCTTTCTTTGATGGCTCAAGTGATAACATGTTAACAAGAGGAACCTACACACTTAACACTAGAGTTTTAGCACCAGGTTCACACCTCCCTCCCTCTTCCTACTCAGCTAAGGGATTCTTCTCATTCCCCACTAATGTGAACAGCAGGTACTTAAAGCAATTAGACATTATCACCTCTCTGGTCTTTATTACTTCCTAGCTTTGTATCAGCTACTTTGTACACAATAAAAGCTGAAGTGGTACAGACTATTTTGCTTCCTTTTTTTATTCTGTATGAAAACACTGGGTCATGGAGCCACATGGACAGGCTGTAAGCTGCAGTGCTTTAGACCATTATTGCCAATTGCCATGGTATTTTACAAGGGGAAAAACCACATGTAGTAATAGTCCAGACATGGGGAGTTCACAGAGCAAGTGATTTGAGGAATATGGGTAGACCATAGGAACAAGGAGACTGGAAGGATTTCACAAGTCCAGCAGAACAGCTTGCAGCTGTGTCTATGCTGTGAATTAGCTGCCACATAGACCTGCAAGCAGCCTAGGGACACAGGTATGACGTGTTGTGCCTGTGAAAATAAAGCCCCTCATCTACTTAGCAGCTCTTGCTTGCCTGGGAATAACTGTTGTAAAATTTTCATCTAGGGATAGCAGTAAATTTCTGTGTCTTCTATGTCTGATGTTCAAAAAGAGGCTTTCCCATATTTACCTAGCCAGGTAAAAGCTCACCCTTTTTCTTCTCTCTCTATCTTAATGCTCCATTCACCCTTATCTTTATTAGGGGACCTCAGAGAATGACAGATTTTCCTCCTTTGCCCCCCTCCCCTGCAGTATTTCTAAGCCTCACTTTGTCATTCCCAAGAGGGAAGGTACAAGAGCTTCCAACTCTTAAATCCTGCTGTCGGTTCTTGCCTGAGAGAGGTAGGTAGGGAAACTGAAGGAAAGCTGAAGAAAGGAGCCTGTCCCTTGACAGCATTCACCTGTAACAGAGGCAAAATGTGGGGTTAAACACCAACACTAGACCCAGGAAAATAAACAAATGGGGTACTTACACAGTTTCATCATTCTTGAACTCCAATTCCCCGTAAGCGTCTTCATAGTCTTCTCCACCTCCTTTTGCTGTCCCTTCTATTGTCCTAAATGGTACTATGACTGTACCACGAGCACCTGATGTCCTTAGGACTTTGACTTCCATCATGCCAATGCTCTCACTGACATGCATAACACCACACTCAAATGTGAAGATGCCAGCATGGTCATCATCCAGTATAGTCACTGTGGCCACACAAGGAGAAGCCAATATGGCCTTTGGGTATGGGGAGTTACTGAGCTCTGGAGGTTCCTCGCTCTCCACCACACGGAGGTTACTGAGCCGCACAAAGAAATGCTCATCTTCCTCAAAGATGTCATCATCAATAATTCCCACCGAGAACTCCTTCTGGGTCTCCCCTGATTTCAAGACAACAGTCCCCTCCGTGAACTCATAGTCAGCACCAGCATTGGCAGAGCCATCTTCTGTTTTATAGTCCACATAGATGGTCTTGGACATGTCCCCTCCTTTCCGCACCACTGTCAGGAGAACAGCACCGCAGTTCTCAAGACACTGGTAGGAGCATGGGTCAAAATAAACTTTGGAGATTAACTCCTCAGATTCATCTGGCTGCACCTCATGCAAGCTTGTGCTCTTCTTGGCTTGCTCAGCTGCGTGTTTCTTCAGAATATTGCCAGTTCCCGTCATCATTCTGGTAGCTTGAATGCGATAAAAGGCTCTGCTCTTTTGCTGATGAGACAAGGCATAGTAGTTAGCCATTTCTACCAGCTGGTCCAAGTCCTTTTCTGGGTGCTTTTGCTTCAGGTCCTTAAGGATTCGGATCATCTCTTTGCGAGATTCATCCACCTCCTTCCCCTCCATAGTCACTAAGTTCCCATCCAGAAAGTGTGAGTTCATCATCTTGCCATCCATCTCAATTCCCTTAGGGTGATCACCTTCTGTTTCTATGATAATGCCCCTCTGCTTGCCAGCACGGTACTTTTTGTGCATATACTTATAGAAAAGCAGACGTCTATCTGCTATCCAAGCCAGAAGGACACAAAGTGGAAAGAAGAACAGTGTGAGCAGACCTTCCCAGACCTGAACCACACCTGGAGAGAAGACAGCAAGGATCATGTACAACCAGATGTAAGCAAAGATGCTCCACGCAGCTGTGACAAAGAAAACCCTCAGGTGTTTTATCTTTCTGGTTTCCCCATCAGGAACCACATAGACACAGATGGCAATGATGACAAACATATTGTAAGCAGCACTGCCAACAATTGTAGATGGCCCCAAGTCTCCAGCTATGTAACCATGCCCACAGATTTCTATCAGAGACAGAAGGATCTCAGGAGCAGAGGAGCCCAGAGCCATGAGGGTCAAGTTGGAAACAGTTTCATTCCAAATCCGAATGGTGGTCGTTGTGGTCTCTCCATTGGGTTTCTTCATCGTAATTTCTTTCTCTTGTGATGTAATGACCTCTATAGATGCCATGAAACGATCTGCAATGATGGAGACTCCAAGGAACATGTAGATCAGTGCTACAAAGTATACGATAACACGGGCAATTTTGTCCCCAAGTGATGGGTTTTCTGGGTACCATATTGGCAGGATAACACCTTCTTTGCACTCAAAAGATCCTGAACACGAGTTGTTTTGTACTGAACTGGTTGAGTCTACCGTCAGGCCAGCATCCACCTGCAAACCATGCAAAAACAGCACAAAAGTAACCAGCCCAAAATGGAGGAAGGCCGAGGTGACAGGCTGCAAGCTTAACCACGCCATACACAAGATGCAACTTCCACTGTGTAGATCCAAAAAGGCCGAGAACCTGAAACAAACAAAACAGAGAGGAGGGAGGGAAGCATGAGAGAAAAGGAAGATGCAACATTTACCCAAATGCACTTCAGTATCTCACCGCTGAAGAGTACTGGTAGAGATGGAGGGGTTGTCTCTCTGTCAGTTTGAAGAAAGTATTTAGGACAGCCCCTAACAAATCGTGGCATTTACATGGCCAGCAGATGAAGATCAATCACTAGAGAAGTAACTTGGAGAAGTCTATAGACATAAATAGCCTACTCTTGACCTACAACATGTACAATATGAGTACTGAGTGCTCAACTGCCATTCACCTAATGATGCCATGGTGTTCACCAGCATGTAACAATACAATTCAGCACAATAAACCAATCTAAAGGCTCTCCTGGCTCACCACTCAGCAGATAAAACAAGTCAAGGAAATACTAGCATCACAAAAAGCACCACTTAAGGACAGTGGGCGATCTCCAAATGAAGTCAACTTGTTGAACATTATTCAGTTACAAATTATGGAATATCCGAGCAGCCAAAACACCTGCAAAGACAGCCCCTCCTAATAGGTTGCAGAGTCTCCAGAAGAGTCCTACAGCCCCTCTAAGCTTCTGAGGCACAAGGCATTCGAGTTAGGAGGTAACGCTGTCCGCCTAGAAACAGAGCAGAGGACTTGTATGCTTGGCAAAGCACCAAAGGCCATTTTTTGCTAGCCTTTCAATTGTGATTTGGAGGACCACAGCAAAATGGATGTACCCATGAACACCTCCTCGGCATCCCTAGGAAACTGATTTATTTTCAAATACCCTCTAAAATCAAAGTAATCTCTAACCTAAAATACAAGGCAAAAACAAAGGAGCAGATTGATGTATCACATCAATTTGGTGTATCAGTGCCCAATAAAGCTTTCTATTACTTATGGACTACCTCCCTGTAGGGCTTGCATAACTCAAAACTGGAATCTGAATTGATCACATTGTCATGGACCACACCATTCTCCTTTCTTTCTATCAGGCCTCTGGAAGAATTCGGTCCCAGTCTTAGCTGACAGGTCACACTTGTGAGTCCAGGCGCAGCTACGGATCAGACCGCGAGAGCAGACAGAGGCAGCAGCTGTGCTAAGTGCCCTGCTTTAACAACAAACTTTACCTATTGAAGATGGACAGGGGGTTCCCGGAGCCCAGGCAGCTGGTGGGAGAGATGGGAGACCCGGAAGGGCTTGGCAGCGCTCTCAGGAGAGGCTGGGGCAGCTGGGGGTGTTGCCGGGGCAACACGTGGGGCTCCCCCAGAGCGAGAGGAGAGCAGAGGCAGCGGCCCTGGCAGAGCAGGGCCTGGGGGCAGCGCGAGAGGGGGACCCATGAAACCCCCCCAGCAGAGACAGAGGGTCAAGTATGGTTTCCACCTGGGCAAGAGCTGTTGCCAGGAGAATGGTGGCAACCCAAATGGAGCTTCCACACAGACACATGGGGCTCCAGGGAGTGCCAGAGCCTGTCGTTCACCCTGAAGAAGGGCAGAGAGACCAGCTGCGCGCGGTGTGAGCAGATAAGTGATCTGCTCGGCGTGGTGACACAGCTGAAGGAGGAGGTAAAGAGGCTAAGGAGGATCAGGGAGTGCGAGAGGGAGTTGGTGCCACGACTTACCCTCCCTGCACCAGGCCCAAAAGACAGGCAGGGCTCATGATGCAGTCCTCTGCCCATCACCCGTCTGCCTGGCTGAGCCTGATGGCCCACAGGAGGAGCAGCAATGGCCACAAGTTTCTAGACAGCACAAGGTATGTATGGAATGGAATGGGATGGAATGGAATGGGATGGAATGGAATGTATGGAAGATAACTTCTTGCTGCATCTGGTAAGTGAGCCTACCAGGGCTAGTGCCATGCTAGACCTACTGTTTACCAACAGGGAAGGGCTCCTGAAAGATGTAGTGGTTGGAGCTCTGCTGGAGAGTACGAAGAAGCTGCAGAGGGACCTGGACAGGCTGGGTCAATAGGCCAAGCCCATTGGCATGAAATTCAACAAGACCAAGTGCAGGGTCCTCCACTTTGGCCACAATAACCCCATGCAGCACTACAGACTGGAGGAGGAGTGGCTGGAGAGCATCTCAGCAGAGAGGGACCTGGGGGTGCTGGTGCACATCCAGTTAAACGTGAGCCAGCAGCGTGTCCAGATTGCCCACAAGGCCACCTTGTGCCTTGTACCAGGCTTGAATCAGGAATAGTGAGGCCAGCAGGAGTAGGGATGTAATTCTTCCCCTGTACACAGCACTGGTGAGGCTTCATCTCAAGTACTGTGTCCAGTTCTAGGCCTCTCCAAGGATACTGAGGTGCTGGAGCAGGTCCAGAGGAGAGCAGCAAGGCTGGTGAAGGGACTGTAGGGGAAATCTTACAGGGATAGGCTGAGGGAGCTGGAGGTGTTTAGCCTGAAGAAGAGAAGACTCAGGGGGAACCTTGTCACTCTCTTCAGCTACCTGAAGGGAGGCTGAAGTCAGATGGGGGCTGGGCTGTTTTTCCAGGCAACTGGCAACAAGACAAGAGGGCATGGCCTGAAGCTGTGCCAGGGGACATTTAGGTTGGATATTAGGAAGCACTTCCTCATGGAGAGGATGACTGGAACGGACTTCCCAGGGAAGTGGTGGAGGCACCATCCCTGGATGTGTTCAAGGAAAGGCTGGATGTGACACTTAGTGCCCTGGTCTAGCTGATGTGGTGGTGTTAGGTCATAGGTTGGACTTGATGATTTTAAAGGTCTTTTCCAGCCTTGGTGACACTGTGTGATTCTGTGCCCTGGTCTAGCTGATGTGGTGGTGTTAGGTCATAGGTTGGACTTGATGATTTTAAAGGTCTCTTCCAGCCTTGGTGACACTGTGTGATTCTGTATGATCTCACGGGAAACATCAAACTTAATAGCAGCATTATCTACAGCACTTGGGAGGTTCAAGAACCTTAACTCCCACTAACTTTCATTGAGGTTTGTACTGCCAAATCAGTAGGACTGGGATTCAGTTCCCCTACCACAGCTCTCTGAATCTTGGGCAGTAAGTTAAATGAGATCACTTAGGCTCTGTCTTCCAGGGGACATTCCTTCCTGTCCCACCCTGTTCTGACCCAAAAGATGCATATGACACGCATCTCCAGAAGGGATTTTGTCCCTTCCCATCTCTCTCCATGGTTTATAGAGGGTGCCCATTCAGCCAATCTAGAGCAGATGCCTAACCTTCAGATGGTGGCTGTTTGAAGAGATGAACTGGCCCATGAACACTTGAGGAGGTCCCTCCCCTCTCCCTTGCACTGTAAATATTCTAGGCAACATTTTAATGTTATCAGCATTAACAAACACATCTTAAATGGCTATTTTATCATTGTGTAGTGTCACTCATGTCTTTGCAACAGCAAGTGCAATCTTCCTGATATCAACAAAAACGTTTTCAACTTTCAGATAAAAATCTGTAAAGACAAGCAAAACAGGAAGGAAAGCGTGAACAAGGACTGCAAGTGAACAAAACCAATCCTGACAAAGCATGGCAGAGGGGAGAGAATTGATTATGCACTATCAGGATCACAAAGCCATATCTGACACCCTGAATATGAAAAAACAATACACTTCTTCATGCTCCCTGCACTAATTCAGAAGAGGCAGACTCTCCTACATTAGCCTACTTACCTTCTCTCTCCAATGCTTACTTATCTGCATGCCTACCCTAGCCCCGGTGCCCGATGAAGCCCCCGGGGAACAGAGGGGCCCCAGACCCATGTGGGCTGTTGGCCAGCCCCAGCCATAGCCCCAGCCTTGAATTCTCACTAAAACATCTCATTGCCTGCATAGCTCAGGGTGACAGGGAAGACTGAGCTACCCAGCACATACAGTTTGGGTTAGGTTTGACACTCCCATGGTGTCTTCCCTCCCACTCTGCATGATACTTTACCCGATTTCTGGCTCCACGATACTGGGAAACTCCTCAGAAAGGGCCAGTGAACATGTGCAGGGTGACTACAAGCAGCAAGCCTGAGACGTCTAGGCTGCAAGGTAGATGTGTGCACATGCACAGTAAAGATGACACGTTTCAGGTGCCTCTGACTCAAGGTGCACACAGAGACCAGCTGCACAAGCACAGCAGCTCCAAAAACACCCTGAGGGCACATCAGATCATGCTCTTCTGTACTGCAGTTGCTGGCAGGCATCCACCAGTCTCTTGACACTTCCAGCTCCCAGCTCCTACTTAACCATACAGGAACCAGTAGGTGCTTTATCTTTCAAGATCAGCCATGTAGGAACGGCTGAAAGAAAGGCAGAAATAATTTCAAAAACTTCTATATGACTCAAGCATCTAAATTCGGTTTACAAAAAGACTGAAGAGTCTAAATATTACTGAAATTCAGAGCCTTGTCTAGGAATAGTACAACAACTAAACTGCCCTCTCAAACAAAGCCCTGCTACCACCAACCTCCCTCTCTGTGGGACAACCATCTTCTGTAATTAATACTATCTGTCTACATTCTCTAATGCCATAATGGTTACTACTGCTAACCATTCCTCAACACACTCCCGGGCCTTGCCAGTTCTTCTTAAATTTTTAACTTCATTTTTAGCAGAGGGTAATTTTACTACTATTTCTCAAGCTAACTGTACATTGCTTCAAAAACAACCTCTACCACGGTAGCCTCTGTTTACATGTTTGGACCTCCAAACTCAGGCTATGAGTTGTAGACTAAAATTTCAGAATTTGGGAATACTTTTCTTCACTGGTTTTTACTTGCTTTAACAAACATTTTAAGTGGAGGTCACAATGACGTAATAAAGACCTGATCCTGCAAATCTTTGACAGATAAAACTCCCTAGTGAGCTCCATAGGAACTCTGTCCACAGACACACTGTCCAGTAAGATCATAACGTGTGTTAATACGGAAAGTATTAACATAGCCAATTCAAAAAATACAGTGAAGCATCCTTACTGTCATCTCCCCCTTGGGAACTGGTGCA